GAGTAATGCTATTTATGCATTTATTTTAACCTTGTTAAAATTTAACAGTATCATTTGTAAAGCAAATTTTTGAAACGTCAAGTGCCTGTGATGAAGTGGCAATCAATAAAGCCCATTAATCAGTTCTTTAATAAATAATATCTTACTTTTCAATTTTAAAATATCAAACATCCTTGTTTTTCATAATCTCTTCCTGAAATTAATAATAAAAAAGATTTATATATATTACCATTCATTACATGTAACAACAAGAGTAGAATTCCCCTTTTCCACCGACAAAAATCATATATTTATTTAATATTTTTATTAGAGGTTGATAATCGTTGTTGCCCAAATACATTTCATTAAAAATCTTCCTTGTATAAACAGAAACGTACAGTTAAATGGTGTTATATGGTTTTTAAAGAAATTTTTCTCTTCTAAGTTATTGGTATTTGAACACAAATATTCTTTTCTCTCAATGTCCTTGTTAACAGGCATTGGGTCTCATTAACGCAGTATCAAGAAAAACAATAACACCAAACATAAGCTTTTTTTCAAATCTTTTGAAACATTCTGGTGCAAACAGAATAATAACTTCTTCCTCAGAGTTCCTTTTGCTATTTATTCGTGAGTAATGGTTGAGTCATACTGATGCACAACATGTAATTTGCAAGCTTAGTATTAAGTACATGTATACGAGTTTTTAATTATGTCTCTCTCCATTCAAGATTTATCACTTAGTGAAGGTTTGTGTGACAGTCAAGAATTCAAGATACTTACCCTAAATTACATACGGGGAGGGGCGGGGGTTAATATAAGTATATTTATTTACTTCATTACAAGCTTTATACAAAAAGACGATTGGTCTGGATTTTAAACTTCTCTGTCACCCACCCCGCCTTTATTCACATCTCTGATTCACCGAACATGAAATTCACAACTTTGGTACTAATTTCATCACACGTTATAAATATGCGGGTAGTCGGTAAGATGGACTGCTGTATCATACTATCTAGTATAATTGAACGATCAGATCAGATCAGACTTAGACTGCTAAATCAGGCGACATGGTTTCTGAGTGGTGGTAGTAGTGTTAATGTGCTGAAGGCTGATGATGAACATATATTTTTTTTTTGCTTATTTGTCCAAAATATAATTTGGTTACATTTAATGGAAATTATGTAAAAAATCAATTCAAATTTGTCTTTTTGACATCTGCTGAGAAACTGATATGGATTTTAAATACCAGAAACTTTATGCTTGCGTGGAAAATTTATTTTTAAAAACAGTAAAAGAACAAATGTATTAATACATGCATTGTTTTGGAAATTTATTTTGAAATATAAAAGAACAATTTATAAACGCGTCTATAAACATACGTGCATGTACTGTCTACTGATTGACACTGGGCACAATCTAACCCGATTAATTATATAGCTGCGTACTACTGATAAAAAAATCAATTTATGTTGTGAAATAGTCTTTAATTTGTACTTTTATATGTTAAAAGGTCATCCGGACCCTTGACTGGTAAATAAAATATCGTATATATATCAAATATTATTAAATAATGCATGTCTGCCCCTGAGTTACTATCGATTATGAACATCCTAATTCATTATTTATAATAAGTACAGTATAAATTTCAAATAAATAAATAAAGATTTCCATATTTTTAACATCTGCACTGCTGTTCAGTGAAATTTTTCTTTCTGCCGAAGCCTATGATAATTAAAGGTCATTTTAGTAAGCTTTATCATTGTGGTATCTGCAGTCACCTGTTCTTCTTCGAATTCAGAAATTTACAAGGGAAAAAATTACTACACCTAACCCCCTTTCAATTCTTCCTAAATGATTTACATTGGAGGTTTCATCACTCACGTGGTACTTTTATTTTACAAAACAAGCACACATCTGCTCTTAACATTTCTAACATTTAGTACAAGTATCTCGAGATTGTGAGAGTCCTCATTCTATAATATGCTTTATCCTGTTTGTGTTAACATATTTTATAGGCAATCAATCGATTTCTAGCCAGACATTTTCTCTCTCATTCTCTTTATAAAACAGTGCAGAGAAATATGTTTTTTTTATACACAAAACGCTCTTCAATTTACAAATAGGGACAATACTTTCATATCAAAGAGAAAACCAGTTTCAAAATGGGGAGGGGGGGGGGGTAAAGTACAAATATCATTTTCATCCACAACTCCAACAAACCCTTTAAAAGGCTTGCAAAAATTATATTACATGACACTTTATGATTCTGTCCTTACATATTTGAGAAACGAAACTACTTTAAATCTCTCGTGGTGAACGTAAATATATCTGTTTTCCTTTTGCTTTTCTTGTGAAAACAGAGAGTAAAACTTAAAAGATTTTACGTAAATCATCAGAACCTACGTCATATGAAGTCATATTTAAGTGAACGAAAATACACAACTATGAATGATAATGTGAATAACATGCAACTATTTTAAAGGAATGCTATGTTGCTAAGAAATCTTCAGTTGTCTACAAAACAGTACAATATCTTGATAATATGTTGTCCTAGTCATATATCTGTAAAAGATGTAATACCTAAATTATGAAATGATGTACATTCATTTTCATAATCATTTGTTAATTATTCATATATATTTTTAATGGTTGGTGTAAAATAATAATAATATTTCCCTAAAATGTTAATTTTTTCAATAAAAATTTACATTTTTGATAAATATTTACAGTGTAAATCTGAAAGTACCCGGTAATCCCAAAACTTTGTAAGTGCAAAAAGGTCAACAGAAGTACATTAAGTATTGAATAAAAAAGTTTCTCTCATTTCTTTTTGGGGAAAGGTATATATTTTAATCATTTTTGGTAAACATTTGGGTATGTTCTTCCTCATATTAAGAATTGAAAACACTGTGACAAAGACTTTTCCGACAAAGGTTCTACCTTAAAACCATTTTTAAAGTACATCTTTTGATATATCTTTTTTTCGTCTTTAATCAAAAAAGATTGTAATTGAACACAGTTAATGTAAAATAAATAACATACGCTGATAACCGAAAAGGGCTCAATCCTGCTAAATGATGAAAAAGTCATTCATTACATGTATAATATCCTGCAAAGGCATGCATGCATATCTACCAATTTTTCTTTTATCAGTAAGTAACTAATAAGTTTAAAATTCTAAATCTTAACATAAATATGTTACAATTTTGATAAATAGATGCGTAATCATTAAATATATATATATATATATATATATATATATATATATATATATATATATATATATATATATATATATATATATATATATATATATATATATATATATATATATATATATAATATCAATGTAGGTGTAAAGGAAGAGTTATTATTTGTTGTTTTATCTTTTGCACACCTTATGTGAAGTTTCAAAAACTTTCTGAAAAAAAACCTAATTTCATATACATATGCATATTTCTTTTTTCAGAAGAAAGCTTATGAAACCTCACATAATGAGTTAAAAAAACAACAACAAATAAAAATTCTTCCTTTTCACCTACATCTCCTTATATCTTGTTCTAACATCCAACAGATAATGTATATGATAATTACTTGTAAAACGCGTCCTACATTTAGACACAATAACATATTAGTCATATGAAAACATACTTCTATTAGTGTCAATTCAGTGCTTGTGAAAAGCTTAAGAAAACTAGAGAGCGACAACTTCCCTCAGATATATACAGGAAATTCCTCTTTAGCCCATTTAATTCTTTGCGTAACTTAAAGACGCAGAATTTTTCTCTGAAAGAGATGGGGCATTTTCTGTTTCGTACTTCACAAAGATATTTCAATCTTTTTTTTCTTTTCTTTCCTATAAAATTCATAAAAAACACCCACCTTCCTCTATTATAAGAGAGATGATGTTGCTTTGTTACAACAAAATACATTGCACGTGTTTCCTTGCACCTATTATATTTGTGATTAACAATGAAATTGACAATGCTGCAATTGAAGGAAAAGCATCACACTTCCTGAAATAACAAACTAAAAAAAAAGTTTAAAAAATTAATAACCCTCAGCTTGAAACAGTCGTGCAGATATTCTGCTTGCACCATCTTGTTTTACACAAAATCCATCTCAACACTCTGTGACAGCTTCTATCTTATTTTTGACTATAACTGATCATTCTTGACAGTAAATACCCGATTCTTTAGACTTCTTTAGAGTTTTTTTTTAATGTTAGTAGTGAGGTACTTATAACTACAGTTATAAGTTGATCATAAAGCATATTCTCTAGACGTCAAAAAAAACGTCAATATACAGTTTCCTATATACACATATCCTGACAATACGGTAGCAGTTCTGAACATGAATTCTAGGAAGCTCTAATGGTGACCTTTGAATGAATGGAAGTATCATTTCCTCGAAACGGTCGTAAAACTGAAATGCACTAAGTATTCGAACTTAAGTATATATACTCTGACCAGAATACGTAGTAAAATCAAATGTACTTATTCAATGGGGATTTCTTATAGTTTGCTTTGCTGCACTTTCATTTTACAAAAGGAAATATAAGGTTCTTTAGAAATTCAATATATGTCCTTATCAATATTGTGTATCCCTGAGAGGCTTTGAAAATCTAAAATTAAATTTTGAGATGAATTAAATACCAGGAAGAAAAATCATTTCTATTGGTTATCGAGGTTTTTTTAAAAAAGTCACGTGATTTTAAAAAGTGCCAAATTCTTAATAACGTCAGCTTTGTTTGTTTAAATAGTGTATTCAGAAGGGGTGTATACCTCGTAAAGAAAAGGTACACATGAACTGAATGGACCCATTTCTATTTATAGTAATGTTCCAGCCAATGAGAACAGCGGAAGCATTCCTATTGATCTCGTTTTATGACAGAGTAATACGAAGTATGTTAGGCCGAGGAAAGCGTGGAGTGTATAAAAACGACACTCAATTACACAAACTCCAGTCACAACATAAACTGTTGAGCTGGTCCAAAGTGGTATTATAGAAAAAAAAATATGGGTATGTGAAAAAAAATTATATGAATTCTTAAGAAAATGTTTTTTTTTTAATTTTCAAAATTTTTAAAATTATGAATGATAAATATAATGAAATAAAAAAAAAAAACATATAACAAAAATAATTACAATTAAAAAAAAATATTTTTTCAGGCTCCGTAACTAGACAATATGATGCTTACGTAATAGCAGACGACACAGAAGAAGACAGACTATTTCTGCAAGAAATGGCGGACAATCTGGAATCGTCAGAGCATAATCTTCGTCTTCATATCAGATCACGTGATGGAGACATCGAAATGGATTACCAAAAGGAATCAGAAATCATTATGAACGGGTAAGTGTATGAATTAAAAAGGAAAATTTACATACTGCTTATTTATATGGAAAATGTGCAATTGATTATTTTCTTCATGTTTTACTTTTTATTTCAGATGTGAAAAAGTAATTGTGGTTTTGACCAAGAAGTTCACAAAAAACGAAATTGCCATGTATCTTCTGAAAGTAGCCGTTTCAAGGTCTCCAGGTAAATAGCTATACATGTTAAAATCAGTATAGATATTTCATTTATTTGCACTGGATATCATTTAATTACAATTTAAATATAAACAAATTGAAATAGATAAATAAAAAAAAATCAAAGTTAACTTCAAAATTGTAATTAACATAATTATTAATTATGTAAATAAATAAATACTATTTTTTAAATTGTGTAACTTCTACAATACATGTACTTATAAATAAATATATAAATAAGTGTTCTATATTATATAAAAATAATGATTCATGTAAATTATAAAGTTGGAAATAAAAGTTTATCATTTTTTGACAGGATTCCAAATGAGACACATAATCCCAATTCACCGAGAAGAATGCATCGCCCCTAGTTGTATTCGATTTTTGACCGCAAATGACTACACCAAAAGTGACCTTAGACCCTGGTTCTGGCCACGCGTGGCCATGTGCTTCAGAAAGCAGGCACGTCCATTTACGTCCATATCGACGCCAAGGAAAGTCAAGAAAAATCTTGCGGACGTTGTCTGTTTACCAGATATAATTATGGACTCTTTTTCTTCTGTCAAAGAAAACAAATGGAGGACTATTTAAACATTTTATTTTTACTTTTAGGATTGTTTTGAAACCAAGTGACCATTGGACTTTTGTTTTACATTTTGCTTTCTAGTCAGGGATTCAATATATATATTTTTAATTTTTTTTATGTTGTTTTCCCAAGTCTTTTTCTAGTCCGTTATGTATCATGAATGGTTGTAAAAAGTGCTACAATCAAATGTTACTGTCTGTGATAGGTCTTGTATGAGAGATTTATTTTCGAGCCATGCAGCCATTGTCTTTCATTTGTTTCTGTACATATGTATATCATATCATAAAGATAAAAATCACACTTTTGTACTTGAAAAGATTAAATATTTATTTATTGATTTTTTTAAGCGATATAAATCAAGAAATTATTAATCAGCTTGTATCATTTGGGAATCTGGGACTTGGGTAATTGATTATCCTACGATTTACAATATTTTTTGAGTGGAATGGCAAATGATACTGCGGAAAAAATTGAAAGCAGCGTTAAATGTCCATTATAAAACACACTGCTTCCCTATTGGACCTTGATGGTATTTGTTATGTATCGACGATTTATCCAGGATGAGGAAATATGTCTAGAAAATGCAAAAACCAATCAGCAGTTATTGTACTGTCGAAGGCACGTCAGCAACGAACCTAATCGCATCCTTATTCACTAATATTCTATTATCGTGGTCTGAAGTTATATTGCCAAAAACGCAGAAAACCATTAATTTTTATTGTACCATCAGCAACACACGCCTTCAACTTTCCCTGTTCTTGATAAATATTAAACTATTGTTTTTATTTTACATACAATAATTGCTTTAAACTTTTTGGGTTTGTTGTCTATCAAGTGATAATTAATCAGAAACGTCATTCCGGTATGTTTTAGGGACAATCACTTTTCATTATTACGGAGTTAATCAAATATAAAAGATTTTACATTCTCTTCTTTACCATTTTTTTTTTGGATAACAATTTCCTTAAAAATACTTCAAGGAAATTCGTTCATTTATGAACTAGTATTTTTTGTCTTTACGATATTGCTTTTGCTTTTGGACATCTATCAAGTTTAAGTAAATTTTCCTAACCTTTAACCTCTACATACTAACGCAGCTATGTTATAAAGCCTCTCGATTGGTTATTCAAACTTGAGATATGACCAACCGGGTGTAGGGTTTTAGAATGAAAACTAAATACGGGGAAGTTTAATTATATTTTTAGAAAGTAGAAATAGGTCAACAAGACAAAACATTGTCAATAATCACATATATTTGAATTTTTAGCCAAAGTTTCATAATGCACAGGAATGTAAACAATGTAAATGAAGATCTTAGGGAAGAAGCTTGATATTCTAGCAATGTGGTAACCTTACAATTGATGCCTTTAATGTATCAGCAGTCCTAAAATTAGCCATTAAACTGATTGACTGATTGATTAGCATTTTGTGCGTTTTTAAGATCTAGATTGACTTTTTGTAAAGTGACTGCTCCTCTAGGTTCCTTAAACTTATTGGTTTTACTCACTATTTTACAAAGATTGCAATTCTGCATAAGCATTAAACAGCACTCTTCGTCCGAGTGTCTAAAAATAACATACATGCTTAAAATGACAGGAAACCTGGCATTTGATTGGATTGATACTATGAATTATAAACATGTAATAACTTTCTTATTTTACGGGAAATACATTGAAATAAAAAGGAATTGTACATAGAAATATTTTTAAAGAATGATTTGTTGGAAGCACAAAAGCCCACACATTATAAACATAAACTGATTTCTAATTGGCTATTAATTAATTGTTCATTATATTTAATCTTTTTTTCCAAGAACAAGAACATAAAAAGAGGATTAAATACTCGCAAGTAAGCGACCTTAAAAAGAGACTGAAGTGATTCATAAGTTCGTGTATCGACAAAACAGTGACTGTCTTATGTTTTAGGTGCTTTAGGGGAGAATTAAATACGAACATTGGAAAGCGGGGTCAATTTAAAAAAAAAAACAGCAGCAACAACAACAAATAATAAACAACGGTCTTGTATGCGAGTTTGACGTTATTTTATTGAAAACATTCACGCACAAGTACTATCCTAATTTTCTAATTGTAAATTGGATCGGACCTCTAAATTCACAAGAAATAAAATTACTAATATTTCTGTAGTATAAAATGTCATCGTTTAGCCTTGACACCGTTTTGAGGTTTAAAATTGAAACATATTCCTTTCAAAAATCTTTTGATCTCTTTGTTACATGCAGATAAGAACCCCTTTTTTCAGATTTCTATGCAAAAATAGGAATTTAAGTACCAGGTGGCAAATAAGAATTGGTGATATTTTACAACTAAGTGTATTATTGCTGGGAATAGAGATTTGGCCTCTGATGTATTTATTGAAGCATAAAGGTCTCTACATTTGTTGTGTTATATTTTTGTGCATTATCCTACTTTTTATTGTCTTATCAACATATATACTGTTATTACTTCCTATATTTTCATTTATATGTTGTATTGCATCTGGGTATTTACATAATTTAAAGCGACTTTTCTGTATGATGGATTTTATTGCTAAAAGTTATATCGACTTAAAAAAAATATTGATTTAAGCATGAGAATTAAAGATATCGATGTAGTAAGCTCCACACACAACAATAATAAAAAAAACTTATTGAAGAAGAAAGGGGTGAGAGGGGCATGTTCAGTTAGATTGTTCCCATTGAATCAAATATCAATTAACATCATTCTAATTAATAAGAAATGAAATATATCTGCAAATTTTGTAATAATTTAATATTTTTTCTTATTGATAAAAATCATCAATCTTTCTTTCAACTAAAAATTATGTGCTTGCGAAGTATGCATAATAAATATTGCTGTGACTGGAATAATGAACGGCAGCTGCCCCCTCACCCTACATTTTTTCAGTGTTCAATTTCATAAAAGTTTGCCACATAGACGTCAACCTCAACAGTCTTGACCCCCCCCCCTTTCAAAAATATAAGAAGTGAATATGATAGAATATATGCCTGTATATCAGATAAAATTTGACTATCAGCGCATCAGATCTAACTTATTACTTAGAATATTGTATAATAATTTGTGCTTCATTGCAGCCAATCTGCATTAGCTTAATCACAAAGTTAAAAGGGGAAAGGGTGGGGGTCAGCCAAATAAAATATATGACTAGGAAAAAAGATTTAGTTATCAAAATGCGAGTATTCTTCTTTATTTTTGGGGTATATTAGCGAATCTATACTATACTCAGGTTTAAAAAAAAAGCTAGAGGAGGTTCATAAAGATACTCTTGACTCTCCTTCTCTTCAAAAGTAGTGATGGGGACAGTAGCCCCCTATGAATACACCTATAATCTAACTGCTGATGTCTTTCCATCCCTTTTTTTCAAAATATTTTTGAATCTGTGCCAAGCTATGACCGTATATGATAACAAATGCATGTACATGGTACAGGAGCTTTCACTGAATCCCGAGTGAAGTAAAGATTCATTAGAATTCCCGCCCCAGCAAAGTTAATTCAATAACAATATTTTCTCACTTCATATATTTATATCGATAAAACTTTATATCTATTTAAACTGATCGACATTTCTATATTGATATGATTAACTATATTGCTTTGATCAATATCTTAAAATCAATATATATTTTTTTAAGTCGATAATACTTATAGCAATAAAATCAATTAGATAAAAGAAGGTGCCTTAAATTATGTAAAAACATCTTAATACAATTGAAAATATGTGTATAAATAACGAGTTAAAACACTTTATATGTTGATGAGACAATAAAATATAAGATAATGTACAAGGTTATAACACAACAAGTGTAGAGTCCTTTACGCTTCCGTATGTCAACGTATAAAATATAACCTCTTCTTATCTATACACATAATTTGTATTAAAGTGTTTTACATAATTTAAAGCATTTTCTTTTATTTGATTGATTTTATTGATATAAGTTATATGAACTTAACAAAATATTGATCTGAAAATATTTATTTAAGCATGATATTCAAAGATACCGATGTATCTATCTTGATATGCAACAATAAAACTGTATGAATGGTAGTTATATCGATATAAATATGATAGTATTTCTGGAGAAAAATGAGAAAATATTGTTCTCGAATTAACTCCGGGGGTGAGGGCGCAGGAACTCTAAAATGATACGTCAAATCACTCGGGAATTAGCAAAAACATTGTACCATTCGTACAGTGCCGAATATTTGCTATCGCATACGATTTTAGAGAGACTCAAAACGTTTTGAAGAAGAAGGAAAGATGGGGGAGTCATGAGCAGTGAAATTGTTCCCAATGATGCAAATAATCATTTACAGCATTCTAATTAATAAGAAAACAATTAATAAAGATTATATCAATCTCTTTCTGAAATAATAATTATATGTTTTCAAAATATACCTAATTAACATTGTGATGAGTAAATTACTGAAAAGCAACCTCCCCCCCCCCCCCCCCCGTAGTTTTTATGTTCTATTTATAAATATTAGGCCTATTCCTGGATGCATCGAAAGTAGCAATATTATACAATTCGAAGACTGGCTATGTAATCTCTGTAATTGTTTGTTGTTTTGTCACAGTGTGATAAACATAGGATCCGCCACATAGACGTGAACCTCCAAACTCATGACCCCCCCCCCCTCCCCAAGGATATCCTATAAAATGTCAGCAGATAAGATCTAACTGCTTGTTACGTAGAAAGATGTAAATTCCTTTTGTTACGTTGCGGATAATCTACATAGATATAGTCAAATTAATTTAACATGTAAGTTCAGACCGAAGTTTGTGTTAAGGGGGGTGGGGTGGGGGGCTCAACCAAGTAAAATATTTTACAAGCAAACATGAACAAAATGGATTTATGCTAAACCAATTGAAATATTTGAAAAGCATAAAAAAATCCAGAGAAAAAGGGATATTTGATAATCCTACTACGAGTATTATCCATAATTTTCAGGATATATTTACTACTTAGATCAAAAAGCGGGAGTAAGGGGCATACATATATTCTTGCCCCTCCCCCTTTCAAAGGTGGTGGTGGGGACACTTGCTCCCTGTGACTACGCCTATGATCCAACTGCTGATGTCTCTCCATTCACCTTCTTCAAAATATTTTTGAATCTTCAAAATAATATATATGTAACACACTATAATAGTATATGAAGGTGCTTTAAATTTCGTTAAAAGATACCTAGATTCAATGCAAAATATGTTATAAATAAGGCGATATAACATTTTATATGTTGATAAAAC